ATACAACTCTTAACCAACTGAAAAGAGCAACTAAAAATGTTCTTTAGCATGGATTACAAAACCTATAAAAGTTTGCGTCAATCTGACGATAAAATTTTTGTGAATTGTAAATTTTTAATTAAAATACAAAACAGTGGTCATAAAGGGCCAGCACATCTAGAGCTGAATTTAAAACTTGGAGCAACAGCGTTAATAAGAATTTTACGTATGGGTCAAGGTTTATAGATTACAGATTTATTAAAGTACAACATAAAAAAAAAAATCATAAACAAAAAAAGATTAGTATCAAAATTTTCATACTAAAAATTATTTATAATAAAAGAATTTTTTATGACTATAAATAAAAATTAAGTACAAACTCTTGACAACGTTACTTTACATAAAAAAAAAAAAAAAAAAAAAACAATTTCATAGTCAACTAGATTAACAATTACTAAAATGCAAAGTAAGAATGTAACTTTTACTTGAATTATACTTGATAATCATTTAGAAATGAAAGCATAGTTTGGAAAAAAATTTCAATTTTTCACGAATTGCTAATAGAACTAAAGTATTTCTACGGATTCATAGCTGTTAATTATCATATCATCATACTTAAAGCAACATTTTCTCAATCATAGAGAGGATTAAAAAAAATCATATAAAGCTGTTGAGTGATACACTGAAACTAATTAGGAACAAATAATCTTAAATTTATACTCTAATTTAAAGTATACTAAAGAAAAGAATTGATGATTTTGAAAGATCAATGGAATACAGAACGATAGGTTTCTTTATCGTAAAAATGTCCATAAACTAGTACTTAAGTTTTTTTTTAGTTAAGAAAGCTTTATCTTTTATTACTGAATTGGAGTTTAAAATTTTTTTTATCTGATTTATATCTGAAAAATAGGTCTTCAAAATTGTTTTACTTTAAAAACAATGAGTATGTTTATTCGCAAAGTAAGTGCTAATTGAAAAAGTATCAACTTTCATGAAAATTTTTGATTAACTATCATTTCTTCGCAATTTTTGAAAAGATTTAAATGTCTATTTTTATTTAAACCGTATCTAATAGTAATAGATACTTTTTCAGAAAAATCTTAACATTTTGTCTAGGAGTTGTACAAACTATCTAAAGCTCATGCAGTCAGTTCCAATTCTGTCAGCCAAAAAAAATGTAATCTAAATTTATGTTTTTCTTGCCTTCAGGCAACTGATTTTTACCAAACTTTTTCTCTGGCTCTGTTGGTCCAATGGACCTATTATGGCGAGATATACATGTAATGTCAAACTAACTTGTAATACAAGTAATAAAGTGGTAAACTATTTTAAGTAATCCTAATCAGTTTAAATAAAAGCTGAAATAAAGCCCTATCGGTAAAAAAAATTTTCTGAGTTTAGTGTCTCTAATTTCAAGTTAAAGAGGTTGAAAGAGAAAAAACATATTACAATTCACGTTTAGTAATCGATAACCAACACGCATATTCTGTCATTAACTGATAAATTTGAGTATGATGAGACTACAACTACGATTATGTTATTTTTATCTATACGTTTTTTTCTTACTTATGTTATTTGTCAACATTATCAATGATAGATGCATCTTTCACAATCATTTTATTTTCATTCTTAACTCCTGATTGCTTACATTTTTACTGATCCGTCATTAACTAATAAAATTAAATGTAAAGAGTGAGAATATGAAAAAACTAAAACAATATTATACAGAAAAGTGGGAGCATAAGTATTTCAAATTTTGGTTTTTAAATAAAAATTTACTGAGCACTTACGTCAAGAAAATATCTTGCAGGCTTAAAAAACAATAAATATTATATGAATTTTTTAGAAAAGGACAAAGTTAGATGGATAAAGGAGATTCAATACATATCGACAATGGCTAAAAGCTCTAACTTAGTTTTTGATTCATTCTATGTTTGAAGTAAAAAACATACGTACATTTTTTGATCGATCATAGCCACGTAGTTATTAAGATATTTAAAAATAAAAAATGAGCAACTTAACATGGGTTGTTATAAAAAAATTGTTATAACCTAAAAATAAAACACCTTAGTAATAGTTAAAAAATCGAAAAAAAAAATGTTTCGATATTACAAATACTGCGAAATTACACGATCCTTTGATTTTTATTTGTCTTCTAATTGAAGAGATCATCATTTTTAAAATAAAAAAAAAACTTTGGTTAGGTTTATGAGATTGATGCATTTATATTTTAGAATTAAACTGTATTACGTTCTGCCAGTGATGCCGTGAGGGTCCCACACCTCTGACTCCGCTTCGCCACCCCACACAAAGATTGTATCGAACCTCCTTACGGAGGTGGACCACCTTTGGTAGGGGTACAAAAAAATAGACAGTTATTGATTATTCGATACAATTCCGTCTGAATGTGATTGTCAATTTGATAAGAGAGTTTTTTAATTCTAATTTTTTCCGCATTTTACTTGTTTGCTAAACAAGGGTTACAAAATTATCTTATACTTCAATATTTAATGTTTAAAAATTATTAATGTCATTACGACAATATTTCTACATGGATGGAGTTATCATTTTTCTTTTGGATGAATTGTTATTGTTGATAACTGGTCTTTATTTTTATATGTTATATGTTTTTTGTTAAATATATGTTTACATTTTCGAATTCAAATTCATAACAAGCTTCTTTATGATTTTTCATGGATAAAATTTTTTTTATTATTTAACTTGGAGCTAAATCAGCGATGGCAAACCTTCTGTCATCAGAACAAATAAGAATCTGTAAAACTGCAGCAATCACACGTTGTCATCATAACGTATTAACTTATATTATACAAAATTTTTTTAGGTAAATAACAGTAGTCACTAGATTACGAGTAATATTGAAAGGTATATTTTAATTTATAAGCGAACATTTTACCACACCATGTTTTAGGAGCGCACATGCGCACAGGTCTTCCTTCATTCTTTGCACGCTCTGCAATTCTACAGCAAGTCTATTTCTTCGTCTCTGTCATTATTTTTCTATTTCAAACACAAGTGATCTATACGTATACGTAAGATCTAAGTATATAGTTGACAGAACACACTAGTATAACACGTACCTTGTCACCTTTTTGTGTAATTTTCCCTGGGAAATACATCTTTTTTCTTTTTAATGAAAATTTCAATTTAGACAAAGCAGTTGACCAAGATTTTGTAGTATTTTTTCAAAGTTTCGTAAGATACTACGACCATGTGCTGCTTAAGAAATAAATACAAAGAACTCTGTGTTGACTTTTTAATGAATCAATTGCTTAAGGGAAGCGTCACGCGTTGTCGCTTGGTAGATAAGATGCTATACATATACAAAGAATATGTATACATGCTTAAAACGTGAAGTTAAAACGTGAAACGCCAAGTACCAACTGTACACATTAAGAATCTCGAGGTATCCACTATAAACATCGAGAATTTTAATGTAGCGCCACTGTGGTTATTGATCCTAGGTGTACAAAAAATTTACATATTAAGCCATAAAGTAAATATTCTGGATATGAGCAATTCAGATGAACACTGACTTATAGTAATCTTTCACATTTACCTACATGGTAGATTCAAGATTCCTAATGTGCACAACTGATACTTCGTGTCTCACAATGTCACCAATTTCTTCTTCTGCGTTTAACGTGTAAACTTTATTTCCTGTACATCACAGTGTATGCAAGAACCATTTTAGAAAAAAATTTAAATATGGTTCGTAAATTAATGTTATAAAAACGTGTAATAATTCAGAAATATTCATGTAACTTTCAGCCCATTGTTTACATCAAATATAAAATTCATAAGGGTAGCACAGAATGTACAGATTTTCTTAGGACTCTGAACGCGAATTTAAAGCCAAAATCATTTCAAAAGTCAACTTTTTTATGCTTGCTTGTGCAGAAGAGTGTCATTTCAATGATGACTATAAACGGAGTTGATACATTATGCATGATAGGCACGTTTATCTTATTTCCAATGGATCATGTGACGCGATGGAGCAGTAAAAACTTCGGATACATGGTAAATGGGTAAAAAATATCAAAAACAAATAGTACCGTCCTTCTATTTTGGACCCTTGTATTATTCTTAAGTTTGCCTGAACGATTAAATATTCAATGACAATCAAGAAATTTTATAGAACTTTGTCTAACTGTTAATGGTTTATCTAGAGCTAGTCTGTCTAAAGGGTCAGGGTACAAATCCATTTTACGACCAATTTTTTAGGTATATATGTAGCTTCCTTTTTTTAAAATATCTTGTCACTAAACTTCTTTCTACTGAGCATGGTATAATATTTTCGTGCCATCTAGTAGTAATAAACAGCGAGAACTGATGCTGAGATGATAAGGCTGACTCTGTCGCCGAAACAGTAAAAATCTATGTCTCAAAAATTCTTAACAGTAATTGTTGGATACAAATGCAATTTATTTTTTCTGACAGCAGCCTGGCAGGTAAACATTTCCGTTCATAGTGCAAACTTACTTCCCTGTCACTACAGCATGAAAAGTCGTTTATAACCCTAGGCTGGAAGTAAAGAAGGCTTCAATCGTCCGTTTGTCATCCTAAACTTTGCCTCAGAGTGAGTACACGAGCAATCTGAGACTTTCTTTACTTTCCTAGCCTAGGATCGTAATATACTGTAAAAATGTTTATTCTAGAATAGAACTATATAATCTTATAGAAACTATATTTCAAACGCTCTAAGTATTAAATTGGAATATTGAGTTATAAAAAAAAAACTTTTTCATAATTTTTATGAAAATATAATGTGATGGCTTTGAAAGACCGGGACATCAGTCTTATTTTGTCAGACCTTTAGTGTTTTCAATACATTAAAAAAACGTACCCTCAATTTGGTTTTAATCCGTACTCTAAAATTATAACAATATTCATATGATAGACAGAATAGGGAAGGTACGACTGCGTACACGGGTACAGATAGAGGTAATACTTTGTATACAGAGATAGAGAAATAAAGACATGCTTACTGTTTCGCTCACCACTAATGTTGTTGCTCGTAGTGGTAGGGGAAGAGGAGACACCTGTACCGGCAATAGAGGCAGGCCTTCGGCGCCTTGGTGCACCTATCGAGCGGGGCCGTAGACTCACACCAATGGTACTTCCGATGCCGCTGACGACGTTGGATATACTATTTATTCCACTCAGTTGGCTCATTGCACTTTGGGGCCGGGAGAAGCTACTTGGTGTCACTTCACCGCTTCGAAAACCTACAGACAAAAATAAAGCCACATAAAGCATATATTCTTTTGGTATTTCCTATGTATGGATTTATGCAGTCTTTTTTTTATCTACGAGGGGGATAGTAGGTGAGCAATAGGTAGTACCTAGTAGGAGAGAGGGCCAGTTAAGTTTGTGCGATTGCCCGATCAGGCTGTGACGTCAGGGAGCTTTATTCTCGAACGCCCAGATGCTGCTATCTGTGACGTAAGATGATACAGTGTTCTAAATATGGCTTCCAGTTGTAACGTCGAGGACGCATATTTGAATTATAGTTAACTGCTCAGTGCAACGACCAAAAATTTCAAGATCATTAAAAAATAAATGTTAACTACGCAGCTCCGCAAACTATGTACAAGCACAATAGATAAGCCATTGTGCACTCTGATAATATAACTAAAACCTGACAACGGTCGAGCACTGAATAATTAATAAGAAATATTTCCCACGATTTCAACACTATCGAGGACCTATGCAATTTGCACTCTAAGTTGCAAAATTAACCATCCTCTTAAAACTGCGACATCAACAAATGGAAACGAATAAATATGTATGTATATATAACGCGATACAAATTTATGAGGAATTGTAAAATCATCTGGTTTGAGCTAATCAAGCTCATGCAGTCACATTTTTATTATTATTCCCTCCTTTTTCAGCAGCTTGATACGCCTAAATCGGTTATGCAAATCATTTAACCTTAAGATTTACAACCTGCTGAATAAAAATTGTATTCACTAGAGAACTTTTGAATGGGAAAGCTGAACGCGATAACATAAGAAAAGAAAGACACTTCGGTTCCTAACAACGCAAGTGAAGCAGAGGAACTCAAAGAAGTCGTGATTAGAGAACTAGTCATTAGCGACCCCCCTGCCGGACTGAATTGCAAGATGTTGGAACCGTATGAAAGGCCAAGTATTTGGGAAAAAATGAGAGCTCTCGTCTGGAGGACAAATCCGGAGAAAACTCTCTCGCCTGGATGATTGTATCGGAGGACAACCCCGATACGTTATACCCAGCAACCGTCGTCAGCGAGCATTGAAAGAGCGACCTGAACCTGTCAGGACGTATACTCGAGCTCAAGACTTACCCGCGCGCGTTCCACTACCCCACCATATTCTTTTAACGATCTAAATTTAAATAAAGAATAAGTTATATTCAACTCTTCTCTCTTTCTACTTTTTATTTTCCCAAAACCTTTCCACCCGCAAAATGAAGGCACGACTCCATAATTCTAAATTACGACTTGTTAGATTACTCGCACTAGCAAACTAGAGTAACGGGCAACGGGACCCTGCCTAAGTTCACCTTCCAACATATGTGCGACTAAACTCCGAGGCTACTTAACTCCAACCAACGGAAATCCAGTGGGAAGCTTGGACGCACATATATAACATTCACAGAGGAAAAGGAGCCTACCTCGTTGCCTACTACGACTGTTCTAAAGCAATCGGCGTCTTCACGTATACATCATTGCTGAGGTAGCCTAACCCTAGCTGGACAACAGACCCAGCGGGAATCCAGACAGTGTATACGTGAAAGAAGCAGCGTAGCCGGGACACACTCTTCTGATTAAATATATGTGCAGTCAATATACTCCAAGTCCAGTTAATTTTCCAGGTTATTAAGTGCAAACTTAGGCCTAAAATTAATAACGCTCTAGCTACGTTTCCCGACGTAACACTGTCTTTTGAGGTGCAAATCAAGCTATCAAGCTCTGGCGTCAGGATGACCCCAGATCTACGGTGTAGGCTACTGGCTGACAAACCTGCTCCCACGTATGGTAAGAGCAAAAGAAAGATGATCAAACATGAACCAGTGTTACTTATCTGTCGATGATTTTTTTTTCTTATTATTGAAGTGTAAAATATATCAGGATAATATTTTTACTTCTCGAGAACGGGCGTAGCAAGTTGTTAGTGAAAAAATGTACACTATTTCTGTCTCAAAAGTGGATTGCGTATCCCTTTTTACTAACCAACGTTGACTTACTTATCTTCGATGTAATTATTACCTTGCCTATAAATAGGACTGTGATTACTTATCTATACACATGCATTAGCCGCAACCCATAATTTTTTCTCTTTTCATTTAGTCGTTTAAAAAACCAGTATAATGGATTTTTTTTAAGAGCTGGTGCATGAAGTGTTGCTAGCTGCTAGAAAAAAAAAAATAATAGTGTGTTGTTTCATTATTTGAAGTAGATGGCGTATTCCTATTTTAGCTGGTCAACGCTGGTTATTCTTTTTTAACTCAGCACCTTGCCAATAAATGTAGTTACAATTTCTTACCCACACAGCATCGTGTGATATCATGAATGTACATACAAAAAATTTTTCTACTATGCACATATTGAATAGAGTATATTGATCAAACCATGAGCAATGTACCTATTAAATAGCACTTAAAACATCCATTTAATATTTTAAAGATTATTTACGTAAATAACATTATCTTTTTGAATAACGGCTTATAAAGTTTTAGCTAGATACTTATCGGAAGCTTCTTATTGAACGTCGACCATATAATTCATGAACTCAACGCTGTAACAATCATTCTAACCCGTCTATCAATACGTGATCCTCTTACATACAACCACGAATTGTTATCATCCTTATCACTTTCCTAGAAGGTAGATCAGTATAAAAGAAAAGTTGAAGCAGCGTGTGATTCGTTGGAATACGTTAACGCAAGCTGTAAGCATGACAAAGAAATTTCACAGAATTTCGTGAATACCGACGCCCCATAAAGAGTTAAGTAATTTTCTGCATAATAGTACTGATAGAATACCAACGTTTGTTAAATAGTGATAACACTACCAAGATACGATATTTCGTTGATAATAATGAAACAGTGTTTAAAAATATTTCTGACTTACAAGCAGTCCATAAAATTGTCATCAAAGTGAATGAAAATTTGTTAAATGTTGAATATCTTTCATCAACGTTTTTAGCAGAATTTTAACAAAGGTAGAGGTGCGAAGGTCAGGACTTGATGAAGAATGAGACAGTCAAAATAATGAGTCTAAGCTGTGGAAAGATATTATAACGTAAGGACGGCAGTTACAGCAAAGAGTGAGAATTTAGCTATGGTAAAATTCCTTATCCAGAATAAATGTTTATTTAAAAGTGTGAAAAATTCTCGATAAGCAGAATGCTTCATAAAATAATATAGTATTGGCAGCATAGTTTTCGATACTGAAAAAAATTTAGAAACTGTTGTAGATTAAAACTGTTGCAGATTAAAACTATTTTTTGGAGAAAAAAAATAATTACAAAACTTTACCTCTTTAATTCAGAGCAGGAAAAAAAATAAACATATTAATTTACTACTTGTAAAAAATTATATAGATGTATACTTATAACAAGATTATCCCTAGATTATCTTATTTAATAAATCTGGGAAGGCTGTGTTTCACTTTACCACATTAATAAATTAGGCTGAATATTATATAAGAAACCAACGGTTATTCCAATGTATACAATGCTTAACAAACAAAATTTATAATTGTATAAAACATCTACAAAGAATTATCCTCAAACAAGATGAAGGAAGTATAACTGATGTTTAAACGAACTCCTAGTGAAGTCCCCCACCCCCCTCCCATACAATAATGATTCAGTTCTCCCCAATTCTTATTGACCCTGACATAATACTCTAAACTAATAAAGACTCCTTTATGGAAAACCTGGTTGACAAAGAGAGCGAGCAAGACAAAAAAAATTTTTCTCTGGACAGTGGCATTGTTTGGCGATTAGAAGAAGTACTATATCGTATCACAGGTAAAAATAAAAAAAAAATAAAAATTAACAAAGAGCACAATAAGGTAAAGTAGGTAGTACTGGAACACATTCTATAACGAAAGTTGTAAATCCTTTGTTTTTCACGAAATTAACACTTTCATTGATGTATTTTAATTTTTTTTGGAAATTATGTATTTGATGAACTAATTACAAAACAAAACAAAAAGCTAGGAAGCTTTTAAATGATAAATAATTTGATTTTTTTTTAAACTGTTTTACTGTAGTACTGAAACTTGTGTTCTCGTATGGCATGAATACTGGAACGATATCGAGAGTAGTAGTGGAACGTTAGTAATAATATACGTTATTACAATCACAATTTAATTTATTTTAAAGTAATGACTTCTAATGGTGACTCACAAAAGTACAAAAATATATTGACTAATACTTTACCATTGTATAATCATATNATTCAGAAGTTTCTCGGTTGGCATCCATAAGTAATAAGAATAGAGATCAGATCGGCATGCTGCGAAGCACAGTCAATAAGATCTCTGACTACCAATCCACGTAATTTGGGTTCGATTCTTGGAGTCAATAAAACAGTCTCTCAAAAACGTGCGAGACAGGAAAAGTATTTATTTTTTTGATTCTAAATAATCTTCATTCCATATTTTAATATTAAAAAGACAGTTTATTTATAAACATGTATTTTTATCAGTAAAATTTATAGATTAAAAAAAAGCAAATTATGTTCATATTTTTTTTGTTCATATAAACAACGAGAAGAAGAAAGTACATACATTAGTTTAACAAATGATCAGGTGTGTTGCTTTCTCTGTCTGTCTTTCTCTTTTTGGATACCTGTTTACTGTGCGTAGTTGCGCACGTGCACGAATTTCGTTGGCTCTTTATTAAAGACGAACTAAAATGGAGTTTGAATAAACACAATTGGAACACCCCGGGAAAACTTTGCATTATGGTCAAAAATTGATGGTTTGAAACAATCCTGTTCACAGAGAAGATTTTTTTTTCAATGATAAAAAAATAATACTAAGGTAAAGTAGGTAGTAATGGAACACATTCTATAGCTAAAGTTGTAAATCCTTTGTTTTTCACGAAATTAACACTTTCATTGATGTATTTTAATTTTTGTAGTAAATTATGTATTTGATGAACTAATTACAAAACAAAAAAATAGCTAGGAAGCTTTTAAATGATAAATAATTTGATTTTATAAAAAAAAC